GCCACCGCAGCCTCGACCTGCTGGGCTCCGGCGATCCTTCCACGTCAGCCTTCCAAGTAGCTGGAACTACAGGTGCACACTAATATGCCCAGCTAATTTTTGATTTATTATAGAGATGAGGTCTCGCCAAGTTGCCCAGGCGGGTCTCGAACCCTCAGGCTCAGGCAATCAACTCACCTCAGCCTCACAAAGGCGCGGAATTACAGGCTGAGCCACCGAGCGCGACTGCAGATCCTATTTTTAATCTCGTGGTTCATTCAAATTTATTAAAAATTTTCCTTGTCTCCTAGATATAGTGAAGCAGATACGGAGAAGTTAAAGGTATACCAGTCCCTCCATGGGAACGACTGGAAAAAGATTGGTGAGATGGTGGCCCGCAGCAACCTCTCTGTGGCCCTGAAGTTCTCCCAGATCAGCAGTCGTAAGTGCCCACTAGTCAAAGAAACAAGCCCCAGCAGGCCTGATCCAGTGCCCACAAGTCACTGCAGGCCTATCTTTTGAGAGTTACTGTTTGTTTAAGCCATTCTCCACACTAATTCATTGTTTCCTCATGTGCTTTCAGGGAAACCAACCAAATCCACTAGGCTGACTCTTTCCACACTTAAGTAACTGTCAGTATAGATATAACTGCCAAGTAGATCAGTACTCCAGGAAGCTGGTGATAGGAGAGCCTGGGCGGAGGTGGTTACTTTCCGAAGATGGCAACGGTGACTTTGGGAGGGAGGCATTCATGTCAATTGTATTGTTAAGCGGGGCCTTTTCTCAAAACCAATGTTGGTGATCTCCTGTCTCTTTGTCTCCCCTTTCCTAAAAACTTTTCTTCGCTATGTTTTTTACATGAAAACATCTGAAAATTGCTCTAAGAAGATAGTTGGCCGGACACAGAGATGCTTGACACCAGCTTGGGCGTCATAGTGAGACCACATCCCTACAAAAGAATTTAAAAATTAGTCAGACATGGTGGCACACTCCTGTAGTCCCAGCTACTCGGGAGGTTGAGGTTGAAGGATTGCGTGATGCTAGGAGGTCAAGGCTGCAGTGAGCCATGATTATGCTACCTCTCTCCAGCCTAGATGACAGAGTAAGATCCCAACTCAAAAAAAGAGAAAGAGGACAGTCCTTGGTCGAGGTTACTATTTGGCGCAGGGCACACTTCAGTCACACAGGTAGTGCCTTGCAGCTAGGTCTTAAAGCTTCTAAGAAGTAAAACAAATATCTAGACTTTTTTTTTTAATGTTGTAAACTGTAGAAATTTCCTTGGAAATTTCTTGATTTTTAAATATTCATCGACATCATTCATTGAGGAGAAAAAATCGTGACAGCACGCAGTGAACCAAAGTGAAGAGGGGAGCCATGGATGCCTTCGATGCCTTATATAGATGATTGGCTTCAGAGATCCTCTTCATGAGTGTGCCCCGTAACCCTCCCGCGTCCTGGGTTAATTCCTTTCCCTGGGAGATGTTGCAGTCAGGTAGACGTGACTGTCGTGACTTCCTTAGTGACCACCTGCCGCTTGTCTTGAAGAACCTGTGGAACAGAGACCCATTCATGTCTGTCTATATATATCATAGCCCCTAGAGAAGGACGTGACAAGGTTTTTAGTGCTCCTCCACCTTCCTGAACGACATTCCTTAGAGCTAACGGAGTGTGTACCTCCCCCTGTCTCCCATGCTTTCCCAGTGGGTAGCTTTAGGTGATCCTTGACTTCCCTGTAGATAGCGCCCAATCTACTGGAAGATCGAATCCCCACCTGCTCCCCCTCTGAGGGATCACAAGTCCTGTGATCTGCATAACTCTTGTGATTACAAGTTTCGTGACTTCTACAATCCTTGCCCAATGCATGATGTCTTAGGCCTTGTAAATTCTCTTTACTCTAGGCAAGCTTGATTGCCGCTATGCGATACCTCTGGCACTAGGAAGTCTGTGTTTCTGGAAAGACAAAGTTGGCAGGGTTAATCTTACCTAAAGTATGCATTTCTCCAAAACATAGCTTCTACTTTCTCATCATTGTGTCAGTGTTTAAGAACAAGATGAAAAGTGGCATCCTGCTCTCAGTCTGTCCTTTCACTCAGGTGTCTTCATCACGTACTGTGTTGGTGTCACTGGCTATCAGTTTCACACTAGGAACTCCTGGCTGGGAGACAAGTACATGACATAAAATTCACTTGATGATTTTTTTTTTCCCCATTAAATGTTTGGGAACCTCGCAATTTCATGTACGGCGCATTGTTCTCAGAAACAGGAAGAACAATTTGTTTGAACTTTAAAAAGATGTTGCTTGAAGAATGGATTTATTTATCCGGCACGGTGGCTCAAGCCTGTAATCCCAGCACTTTGAAAGACCGAGGAGACAGGATTGCCTGAGCCCAGGGGTTCGAGACCAGCCTGGGCAACTCGTTGAGACCTCGTGTATACATAAATCAAAAAATTAGCCGGGTGTGGTAGCATACCTATAGTTCCAGCTACTTAGAAGTCTGAGGCAGAAGATCACATGAGCCCAGCAGGTAGACGTTGCAGTGGCCATGAGCATGCCACTACACTCCAGCCTGGGCAATAGATTCAGACTCCAACTCAAAAAAAAATAAAAAAAGAAACGATATATTTAATCTTCTCTGGCTTTGGTTCTTAAAAAGAATCCATAGCCATTTTAGTAATTTCATTTTAATTTGCATGTAATTGTGTTTGATACTTGTCCATTGACTTCTGAAAAATGCCTGGTTTATCATTTTGTTTTTTGAGTTGGGTGTCAATCTCAATCCAGGCTGAAGTGCAGTAACATGATTACAGCTTACTACATCTTCGACCTCCTCTCTGGCAGTCCTCCCACCTAAGCCTTCCAAGTAGCTTGGACTACAAGCACGCTCCACCACACCCAGCTAATTTTTATTTTTACTATTTTTGCACCAGAGTCTCACTCTGTCACCCAGGCTGGAGAGCAGTGGCATGATCACGGCTCACTGCAGTCTCAACCTGCTAGGTTCATGTGATCTTCCAACTCAACTTTCCAAGTAGCTAGGACTACAGGTGTGTGCTACCATGCATGGCTAATTTTTGGATTTATTATAGAGATGAGGTCTCACCATGTTGCCCAGGCTGGTCTTGAACTCCTGGGCTCCAATAAATTATTCCACCTTGGCCTCCCAAAATGCTGGGGTTATAGCGTGAGCTAACGCATGTGGCCTCTTTTTTTTTTTTTTTGATATTGTGTTTGAATGAAAATAGATTAGCATAGCTGGCTCGATGGCTCAGCCTGTAATCCCCCTCCTTTGGGAGGCTGAGGTGAGTGGATGGCCTGAGCCCGCCGGTTCGAGACCCACCTGAGCAGCGAGACCTCATCTCTACAATAAATAAAAAAATCAGCTGGGTATGGTAGCGCATGCCTGTTATTCTGGCTACTTGGAAGGCTGGGTTTGAAGGATTGCCGGAGCCCAGCAGTTTGAGGCTGCAGTGGCTGGGAGCGGCCACTGCACTCCAGTTTGGGTGACAGAGTGAGACTCCAATTCAAAAAAAAAAAAAAGTAGATTAGTAACTACAAGACTGTCCTTTTATATCTATAGAAAGAAATCGCGGTGCTTGGAGTAAAACGGAAACACAGAAACTAATCAAGGCTGTGAAAGAAGTGATTCTAAAGAAAATGTCTCTCCAGGAGACGGAGGAGGTAGATTTCAAACTCCATGAAAATTCTGCAGGTCGCCTATCAATTGTGCGGGAAAAACTCTACAAGGGCATATCTTGGGTGGAAGTGGAAGCCAAAGTGGAAACCAGAAATTGGATGCAGTGTAAAAGTAAGTGGTAAGTTACTCTCTCTCTGCCATATCCATAGAGTGGGGTCCAGTTACTAAAAATATCTGGGTAATTGCCATGTGAACAGCTTACATGTTAAGAATGATCATCTCAGCCGGGCATGGTGACTCACGCCTATATCATTTCAGCACTTTGGAAGGCTGAGGCAGGAGGGTCAACTGAGCCAGGAGCTAGAGACCTTCTTGGGCCAAACAGCAAGACCTCATCTCTACAAAAAAATTTATAAATAAGCCGGCATGGTGCTACACATCAGTAATCTCAACCACTCACAGACTGAGGAGGGAGGATCACCTGAGCCCCGGAGGTTGAGACTGCTGTGAGCCATGATTGTGCCACTGCACTCCCACATAGGCAACAGAGAGAGACCCTGACTCAAAAAAAAAAGAATGATCATCTCCATACAACTGCCGCAACTGCTTCAATATCAATCTCTGGTTTCAATTAGCACTTAACTAGGCTGGGCACGGTGGCTCGCTCACGCCTATAGTCCCAGCACTTTGGGAGACTGAGGTGAGAGGGATTGCCTTAGCCCCCGGGTTCAAGACCAGCCTGGGCAACATGGTGAGACCTCATCTCTACAATAAATCAAAAAGTTAGCCGGGCAGGATGGCACGTGCCTGTAGTTCCAGCTACTTGTAAGGCTAAGGCGGACGATTGCCTAAGCCTAGCAGATCGAGACTGCGGTGGCCATGAGCGTGCCACTGCACTCCAGCCTGGGAGACAGTGAGACACCAACTAAAAAAAAATAACAAAAAACAAAAAATAATTAGGACTTAACTAACCCTGATTCATTGACGAGTATATGACTTATAAAGAACCTTTTTAATGCTGAGTATTGACTGCTGGTTTCTTTACACTTTTTCTAAGTTTTTAGTAAGGAAAGGTAGTTGTCTGTTTGCAGCATTAAAAATAAACAGGAAGCTAATGTTCACAAGAGAAATCACAAGCATAGTGATCAGTAGCAGCTCTGCTTCTTTTGCTGTTACTCTACGTCAGTGCTTCTTGTCTTCACCTGACGCGAGGCAGTCATACTCATAGCCACCCTGTCACACAGAGATCGTTTCAGTCCTGGCCTGCATGTTCTTTGCATGATGTAGCTTTTCTGGAGCCTTGGAGAGTCATGGGGCTAGATGTCCTGCTGCTGTGTGACTCCTTTGACCGGTGGTCCTGCCTGTCACAACCCACACCTTGTGAACCAAGGACGCTCAGTGACCCTTGAATGTCAGATAGACATGAAATCCAGAGTACACACATTTTATATTAAGGGCAGACTCTTGACCGGGCATGGTGGCTCATGATTGTGATCCCAGCTCTTGGGAAGCAGAGGTGGGAGGATTGTCTGAGTCTATAAGTTCGAGACCAACCTGGGGAACTTTTCAAGACCTCATCTCTACAATAAATTTCAAAAATTAGCTGGGTGTGGTTGTATGCACCTATAGTTCCAGCTGCTTAAAAGGCAGGAGGATCGTCTGAGCACAGTAGGTTGAGGGTGTGGTGGCCATGAGCGTGCCACTGTACTCCAGCCTGGGTGACAGAGTGAGACTCTGGGGGCAGGGTGAAAGTAGACTCCTAGGCCCAGCACAGTGGCTCAGGCCTGTAATATCAGTGCTTTGGGAGGCTAAGGTGGGAGAATCACTTGGGCCCAGAAGTTTGAGACCCGCCTAGGCAACATAGTAAGCCCTTCTCTCTACAAAAACATTTAAAAATTAGCCAGGTGTAGTGGCATGTGCCTGTAGTCCCAGCTACTCGGGAGGCTGAGGCAGTTGGATTGCCTAAGCCCAGGAGTTTGAGGCTGCAGTGAGCTGTGATTGCCATTGCACTTCACCTTGGGCAACAGAATGAGACCTCATCAAAAAAACAAAAAAAGCAGACTTCTAGATTACATTGCCTGTGTCCCTCACAATTCTGTTGCAGAGTATTTTTTTTTTTTGCGTTGGAGTCTCACTTTGTCACCGAAACTGGAGTGCAGTGGCTGCTCCGGCCACCATAGCCTAGATCTGCTGGGCTCCGGCAATCCTTCCGCCTCAGCCTTCACGAAGCTGGAACTATAGGCGCACGTTACCACGCCTGGCCAATTTTTGATTTATTGTAGAGATGAGGTCTTGTCTAGTTGCCCAGGTGGGTCTCGAACCTGCAGGCTCAGGCAATCCACTCACGCCAGCCTCCCAAAGTGCTGGGATTACAGGCTGAGCCACCAGGCCAACCAGGGTATTTGTTTAATACAAGACTACATACAAATAAATAAACTCCAGAGAACAGATAATATAGGGGATGTGTATAGTGTGGAAGAAACAGAGCCTGTTCTACCCCTATATTTTAGGCTAAAAGGGGAGCATGTTATAAGGCCAAATGTCAATGTTACAATGGGAACATGATTATGATTAAGAGTGGTGCTGCTTTTGGATTAGCATCATTAAGATAACATGGAAGATTGCACTTTTATTTTATTTTTATTTTTGTTTTTTTAAGTTGGAGTCTCACTCTATTGCACTATTCGCCTCTTCACATTGACCTGCTGGGTTCCAGCAATCCTTCCGCCTCATCCTTACAAGTAGCCGGAACTATAGGCATGTGCTACCACGCCCAGCTAATTTTTGATTTATTATAGAGATTAGGTCTCGCCAAGTTGCCCAGGCTGGTCTCGAATCTGTGGGCTCAGGCGTTCTACTGCCTCCCAAAGTGATGGGATTGCAGGCTGAGCTACCGAACCCAGCTAATTTCTCTTTTACCTTGAAAAGAGGAAACTTGAACCCTGAATGTAAACTTAACTCGTGTAACAGTTCACATCTGTAAACATGGATGGCTATTAGAACCATAGTGTTGAACGCCTTTTTTTTTTTTTGAGTTGGAGTCTCACTCTGTCGCCCAGACTGAAGTGCAGTGGCCGCTTCTCGGCCACTGCAGCCTCGACCTGCAGGGCTCCGGTGATCCTTCCGCCTCAGCCTTCCAAGTAGCTGGAACTACGGGCGCGCGCTACTACGCCCAGCTAATTTTTTATTTATTGTAGAGATGAGGTCTCACCAAGTTGCCCAGGCGGGTCTCAAACCCGCGGGCTCAGGCAGTCCACTCACCTCGGCCTCCCAAAGTGCTGGGATTACAGGCTGAGCCACCGAGCCCAGACAATGTTGAATATATTGCATGTGAATCATGTGTCTTCCTTACTGAGAAGGTAAACATCACAGCTAATGAATTATTTGTCAATCAGACTGTGACAACTTTTGCTATTCAATATTGGTACTTTTAACATATTTTTAAATTGGATGACTGCTCTTACTAGGAACTTTAGTCAACCTCTGGCCACCAGCTTTGGGCATTACAGGAATCATAAAAATAATTAGTCACTTTACTAAATTCGTCTTGTTTGGTGTTCCAACAGCTGGTAATGGTAATAAGAGCAATGTTTGTCTTTTGGATAAACAGTAAAAATCTACTGAGTTTCCATAGTGTCCTGTAGCACTTGCTAGTGGGCTTATTCTCTTTTCTTCCGTTTGAAATGTTTTATTATGAAATTTTATTTTTATTGTATATATTTTTTTTATTTTTTACTTTTAGAGATAAGATCTTGCTGTGTTGCCTAGGCTGGTCTTAAACTCCAGGCTCTAGCAATCCTCCGGCCTTTGCCTCCCAAAGCCCTGAGATTATAGGTGTGACCCACCATGGCTGACCTATTATAAAAATTTTATTATAACACATACAAACATAGAATTCCTTGTATCCATCATCCAGTTTCAATAATCATCAGCTTTCTACTTTAAAAAAAAGAGGTATAGGCCAGGCTCAGTGGCTCAGCCTGTAATCCCAGCACTTTGAGAGGCTGAGGTGAGTGGATTGCCTGACCCTGGGGGTTCAAGCCCCACCCAGGCAACTTTGAAAGAGCTTGTCTCTACAATAAATAAAAAATTAGCTGGGCATGGTAGTGCATGCCTGTAGTTCCGGCTACCCAGAAGGTTGAGTTGGAAGGATTGCCGGAGCCCAGGAGGTCAATGCTGTAGTGGCCGGGAGCGTGCCACTGCGCTCCAGTCTAGGTGACAGAGTGAGACTCCAACTCAAAAAATAAAAAAAAGGAAAAAAGAGGTATATTCTTGATGGTGGTAAAATTTTAGTAGTGATGAGTTGAAAAATTGGAAGTTGGTTGTGAATGAGAGCAATTTCGATAAGAAAAATATAGGAAATTTTAATGAAACCTTTATCCCTGAAAGTAAATTATATTTTTCTTTCTTTTAATGTAGGACAGAAATTCTAACCAAGAGGATGACTAACGGTCGAAGCATGTACCGTGGAGTAAATGCCTTGCAGGCCAAAATCAACCTTATTGAAAGGTACAGAAATAGAAATGGATGCTATTTGTTTTTCTCTCTAGGCAAAGAGTAGTTGTTAGCACAACAGAGCCTGCAGTGAGATTGCCAAGGTTCAAATCCCTGTTCCAGCACTTTCTACATGTAGTACTATGGGCATGTGGCCTATCTCTAAGTCTCAGTTTACTCCTCTTATCTAATGAGGACGGGAATAATCATACCTACCTCCTGGTGTAATTGGGATGATAAAATGAACTAATGTGTATGAAACATACTGCGTACCAAGTAACTATGTACTATATTCTTTGGAGCATTCATCTGGACATAAGGGATTTATGTCCATGGGAAATGGAGGTAAGTGACTCTGACAAAGCCTTACTGCTCTCCAGTATGAGTTTGTTGGTATCCCTGTTGACTGGTCTTTGGTTTTGTCCCCCCAGAAGTATATAAGGTGTTCCGAGGGAAAGGGACGTGGGCCTGGCTCATGTAGACAGTGAACAGCAGAGAGCCGCAGAAAGCTCTGGATTCTGGCCACACTGTCCCATTTCATTCTCCCTGCCCTCTGGCATGAACCCTGCCTCAAGTTCACTGGTGTGCTTCCTGATCCTCTGTACTGCTAGAGAGATAGCACACACCAGCAAATCTGGGAAGGGCGTCTCAAGTCAGCAGACCTAGATCTCAATGTTGGTACCACCTATTTGTCATGAAATCTTTTTTTTTTTCTTTTAAGTTACGTCTTACTCTGTCACCCAGGCTGGAGTGCAGTGGCACAATCACAGCTCACTGCAGCCTCAACCTCCTGGGCTCAGGTGATCCTTCTGCCTCAGCCTCCAAAGTAGCTGGGAGTATAGGCATGTGCCACTAATTTTTTCATTGTTTGCAGAGAAGAGGTCTTGCTGTGTTGCCCAGCCTGGTCGTGAACTCCTGGTCTCAAGCAATCCTCCCACCTCGGCCTCCCAATGTGCTGGGATTATAGATATGAGCCACTATGCCCAGCCACTAGTCATGAAATCTTGATCCCAGGACTCAGTCTGTCAGCACCATTTCTTTGTTTGCAAAATGGGGCTAATCTCCCGGACCTCATCAGGTGGTTACTGCAAATGAATTCGGTACACTTACAGATCTTTAAACAGTGTGTCACATGGCAAGTGATGTGTACAGATATACTGTTACCTTTGTGTCTACATTGAATGATGAAGTTGTTTTTTACTAAGAATGATGAAGTTGTTTTTTACTAAGAGAAAGGGATATGGTTTGGTGGGAGACAGGAGAGCTCAGGAGGGAGGAGGAAGAAAGATGTTTTTCCAGCCGTCTCTGTAGCTCACTAACTCAGTGACCTTGGCCTGCCTTCGGATGCCCACCTCTCTGGGCATGTGGAATCAGGGAGCTGGAGCAGAGGTGAAACCTTCACCTCTTAATATTGTGAGTCCATGAAATTGTCCATCATGCTGATTTGTGATTGGAAGTTTAATTTTTGTCTTGTAGGTTATATGCAATAAATGTGGAAGATACTAATGAAATAGACTGGGAAGATCTTGCTAGTGCCATAGGGTAAGACCATTTGTTTAATATTAAGCTATTAAGAGATAGATGCCTTTTTTCTTTTTTTTTTTTTTTTTGAGTTGGAGTCTAACTCTGTCCCCCAGGCTGGAGTGCAGTGGCACACTCACGGCCCCTGCAGCCTTGCCCGCTGGGCTCAGGCCATCCTTCTGCCTCAGCCTTCCAAGTAGCTAGAAATATAGGTACACTCTACCATGCCCAGCTAAGTTTTTGATTTATTGTAGAGATGAGGTCTTGCAAGTTGCCTAGGCTGGTCTTGAACCACCCTAGTCTCAGACAGTCCTCTCGCCTTGGCCTCCCAAAGTGCTGAGATTACAGGCTTGAGAAACCTCACCCGGTGAGACAGATGATTTAGTAAATAACTGCCTGTCAGATTTTAAAGAACAGGGCCTATATCTATGCCGCACCGGAATTTTGAATAAGTATTAGTTAAAATTCAGCGTGTTTGCTAGAAAACCAATATGATATAGTAATAGTACAGAATAAAAGCCAAGTTTTAAGAGCAAGTAATACTTAAAGGCTCTGAGCTGCTAGAGAGCTAAGGTTTTCGTGGCACTAAATATTAATTAATGTCATTAATTCAGTGTGTTTTTTTTTTCCTTCCGCGTTGTTTTTTTTGAGTCGGGATCTCAGATACCCAGGTTGGAGTGCAGTGGTGCATCATGGCTCACCACAGCTTCGATCTCCTAGGCTCAGGCAATCCTTCTACCTCAGCCTCCCAAGTAGCTGCGCCTGTGCATGCCACCATGCACAGCTAATACATATATATACACATATTTCTTTTTTTTTTTTTGGTGGAGATGAGGTCTCGCTATGTTGCCCAAGCTGGTCTCAAACTTTTAGGTTCCAGCAGTCCTCCCGCCTCAGGACTCCCAAGGGGTTGGGATTACAGAGGTGAGCCACCTTGCTGACCTTCTTCCTTTTTTTATTGTCATGCACATCATCGCACTTGAGGTCTTTTGTGATTACAGATTTTAGGTAGAGTCTAATACTATGCCCCCCTACCCATTTCACTCATTTCAATTTTCTGGTGGAAAAATAATTGTGATGAGGGAGTCATACAGTCAAGTTGACCTTGGCGGTGGATGGAAGTGAGATTGTAAGTACTCTGCTTTAGTAATGAGGGAATGGACTATCCCAGCACACACTATCAAGTCTAATTATTGGAAAATCAAAGCCTAGACTTACTCTTCACCTACCAAATACATGTGCCTCTGTGCCGGTTGTTTTTCTAGACTGTTAGGGATACAGCATTGAACAGAGGCCAAATTCTCTGCCTGGATATAAATATACACTTTTGTAGACTAGAATTCACCTGAAGACCCACAACAAAGTATATAAACGATAATGATGGCAAACGAACAGTGATTTGCCTATAGACCATCTTCTGGAGACCAAGCACAAAGGCACTCTAGAAACTCATATTTAGTTGTAGTGGGGAGAGATCAAACAAGTGAGCTGATTTCAGGTGACATGGGTACTCAATAGAAAGGCCAGGCAGAGTGGCTCGTGCCTATAATCGCAGCCCTTTGGGAGGCTGAAGCAGAAGGATCGCTTAAGCCCAGGAGTTTGAGACCAGCCTGAGCAACATAATGAGACCCCCTCTCTACAAAAGAATTTAAAAATTATCTGGATGTGGTGGCACATGCCTCTAGTCACAGGTACTCGGGAGGCCGAGGCAGAAGGATTGCCCGAGCCTAGGAGGTTGAGACTGCAGTGAGCCATGATGGTCCTCTGCACTCCAGCCCAACTCTCACTCTCAGTCCAGCACAGTGAGATTCTGACTGCAAGAACAAAAAGAGCGTAAAGAGGGTTGAAGAGACGGGGTATGGGCCAGTCAGGTAGGGTGGCTAGAGGAGACTTCTGGAAGAGGTAACAAGGCCGCCGTAGACGGCTGAGTTGGAGGAGTGTCGGGCAGAGGGTAGTGAACGCAAACGCCTTGAGCAGGCACTGGCGGGGCACATCCGAGGGACTGAAAGATGGCTGGGGGGACAGTGAGTAAGAGGGTGATGGCAGTGGAGGGGCTGGGTGGGCCTGCAGGGGCAGACTGCCATGTGTCAGGGTAGTTGAGATGACTGTGGACAGCTTGGCGCCTGCCCCCAGACTCCAGGAGTTTCACTATCTTTGGGCACTCGGTGTGGGGTCTGTAAACTCTGGCAGTTCCTTAGCTCAGTGGTCTGCAGCCAGCTCACATTGAAGTCATCTGGGAAACTTCTAAAACAGATGAATGCCACACCCAGAAAGCCTAAGGGAGCTGTCTGATCAGGGGCCGGCCATCAGGGGTTTTCAAAGCGCCCAGCAGTTTTGATGTGTGCCATTCTGAGGCCCAGTGTTCTAGCTCTGGTTAATTGACTCGGACAGTTACTAGTCTGAATGTTTTAGTTGTATGTAAGAGTGCGACTACAGGCCCGGAGTGGTGGCTCATGCCGGTAATCCCAATACTTGGGGAGACTGAGTGGGAGGATTGCTTGAGCCTAGGAGTTTGAGACCAGCCTGGGCAGCACAGCAAGACCTCCTCTCTACAGAATCTTTTTAAAAATTAGCTGGGCATGGTGTTGCACACCGGTAGTCCCAGCTGCTCGGTAGGCTGAGGTGAAGAGATTGCCCAGGAAGTGGAGGCTGTGGTGAGCTGTGATTGCACCACTGTACTCCAGCCCGGGTAGCACACACACACACACACACACAAACACACACAAGATTGAGGCTGTGGTGAGCTGTGATTACACCACCAGCCCGGGTGACAGACACACACACACACACACACACACACACACACACAAGATTGCCCAGGAGGTGGAGGCTGTGGTGAGCTGTGATTGCGCCACTGTACTCCAGCCCGGGTGACACACACACACACACACACACACACACACACACACACCCCAGAATGCAAATACAGAGTTGAACATCATGCCCCCACCCATAAGGAAAACCAACTTGACTCTGTTAGGTTTGATTTTATGTTCTTTTGAAAAGTAAGTAGAAGATGACATGGTCCAGGATTAAACATGAAAGGAAACACAGTGAAAGCTACCCCTTCATCCCCACCAGCCACTCCATCCCACAGGAAACAGAATGTGAACCCTTGCAGAGATGTTGCTCGCACAGTGTCTGCAGGATCTCACTATCTCACTGATGGCTGATGGTCACGGCTAAGGCCACTTGTTTCCACCTTCTCTTTTCTCCCCCTTGAGCAAGAGTCACCAGAGCTTATCTCTTTAGGCCCAGCTGTGACTGTGTCAACCTACTGCATCCTTATTCCAGTGTCTGCTTTGTCTTATTTTTTTTTTTGAGTTGGAGTCTTACTCTGTCGCCCAGACTGGAGTGTAGCGGCCGCTCCTGGCCACTGCAGCCTCGACCTGCTGTGCTCCAGCGATCCTGCCTCAGCCTTCCGAGTAGCTGGAATTATAGGCGCGCGCTACCACACCCGGCTAGTTTTTTTATTTTATTGTAGAGATGAGGTCTCGCCTGCCCAGGCGGGTCTCG